GGTCGGCGTAGGACAGGTTGCCCCACGCGTTGCGGCGCGACGAGCTGCTCTTGCGCGGCTGCCCCGCGAGCGGCCCGGCGGCGGGGGGCACGGGCGGGTGCTGCGACAGCGGCCCGGGCGGCGGCGGCGGCGGCGCTGCGTGCAGGCAGCCTGCCTCGGGGCCCTGGAAGTCCCCGCACAGCCCCCCGGTGGCGGCCGCGGCAGCAGCCGCCGCCGCCGCCACAGAGCCGGGCGCCTGCTGGAAGTCCCCGCCGTCCTCCAGCAGGCTCAGGCTGCTCATGAAGTCGGCGCTGACGGCGGCCGCCGAGGCCGAGGGCAGGCCCGCGGCGGCGTCGGGGTTCGCGGCCGCGCCGCCCGACGGCGCCGGGCTGGAGGTGGCAGAGCTGGACTGGCTGAAGTCCGGCCTGGGCAGCGGCCAGGTGCACGAGCGCGGCCGGGGCAGCGGCTCGAAGTCCGGGTCGATCCCCACCACCTGGGGCGCTTCGGCCAAGGTGACCGCCGCCCTCCGCCCGCCGCGGGAGAGCCGAGAAGGGGCGAGTGCGGCGCCGGGGGCCCAGCGGGCGCGAGGAGGCGATCCGAGGCTGGGGGGCGAGGTCGGTGCCGCCAGCGGATGCGCCGGGAGGAAGGCGCAGCCGAGCACAGCGCGAGCCCAGAACTTAACTTCGCGGGTGCATCAACATCTGGTCTCCGCCGGGCCCGCTGCGCGGACGGGACGGCGGGCCGGAGTCCCCGGGCCGCTCCCGCGGACAGGGCCGGCAGGCCGAAGCACGGAGGGCGCCGCGGAGGCTGGCTCTCCACGGCGGCGCTCGCGGCGCTGCTGCCTGTTGAATGCGGCGGCGGCGGCGGCGGCGGCTGTAGCGACTACGCGGCCGCCCGACTTACGGGATCTGCCGCCGTCCCCCCTCCGCCCGCGGCGGCGCGCGCGCCGGCCCGCCCCCGACTGACAGCCCTCGATGCCAATAAGCGCGCGGCGCCGCTGCGCAGGCAGCCAGTGGGCGCGCAGCTGGGCGGGGCCGCAGCGGGGGCGGGGCGTGTTTTTCTCCTTCACACTCCGGCTCGCCCGCCTGGGGACGGCTGGTGTTTTCCGGGCGTCCTCGCGTGTCAGGGGCTCTCGCCCTCGCGGCGCCGTGACTACTTCGTTTACTACAGAGGCGCGGGGCCGAGCGCTCGGGGAGCCGGGGAGCCCGCGGCCGGGGCGGGCGGGGCGGCGCGGAGTTCCACTCGGTCGCCCCCTCTCGGCTCCACCCACGACTCCTCAGAGAGCGTGGGCCGGTCGGCG